ACGAGAACGAGGGAGAGCTAGGCGAAGCATTGAAGGTGTCTAAAGACCCTATTGCTTATTCCAAACTCAATTTTCTAGATTCTTCTTCCGAAATATAAGCTTAGTACCGAAGACATCTTTCTGACGACAAAAATCTTCCCGGTAGAAAACGCTGCGAGCGGTGAGCTCATCAAAAAAGACATTGAAGAATCGTTGAAATTGCTCAACAGAGAGTATGTGATATTCCAATGATTTTGGCATTTTCCTTGTTTTCATTCAGGTACTTAGACTTAGTTTTGGTGCACTATCCTCGTCCATTTACAACTGATGACAAGGATGAACGTAACAAGATTTACCGCAAGGAGGCGTGGCTTGCTCTTGAAAGCTTGAAAAGTTTATTTACTAGTTAGATCACAGATATGGTAGATTTGTTTCAGAGGACGGAAAAATTCGTTCCATCGGTATTTCCAACTATGAAATATGTCATATCGAGGAGATGCATGAATACCGTACCATTGAGCCAACTGTCAATCAGGTGGAATTTCATCCACATTTTCAACGGAAGGAGCTTCGTGAATTCTGTCAAAAGAACGGAATTCTTTTTCAGGTACTAGTGTATTAAAAATATATATACCGTAACCACTCTAATAGAAGGCCACATTATACTCGCAACTTTGATACTAAATATCTCGTTCCTGTAAAAGATATAAAAATGTGCTCAACTGACAAACTCTTCGTCGTAATATGAACAAAATTTTATCAGTTAACATAATTTGGTTATCTCTCATAGGAACAGAGATAATTGAGCTCAAAGTGCAAGTACAGGTGACCCAGAGTGTTTACGGTATGTAAGATAATTTTAAGGCATTCTCTCCATTCGGGCGTGGGAATAGTGCTCTATTGAATGACCAAATTATGACTGGTATTGCTGAAAAACATCATACGACTGTTTCGGTGAGCTAGAATCTGAAAGTTTTAACAACTGAAAAAATCATTCCAGTCTGTCATTCTAACATGGATCGTGCAAAGTGGAAACGGTGTCGCCGTGAAATCAAAGAGCATTGAGAGAGTTTCCGAAAACTTCAAGGTACCGTATACCATACAAAAAT